TCAAAAGACAATGGTGGGTCACTATTCTTATTAGCGTGGCCTGAAAAAAATGATTTGAATCCGGTTGGTTCATTGGAGTAATGCTATGATTTTGTTTGTTGGGATAACTTTTTCTTTTTCTTTTTTTTATTCAAAAAAAAATTTGCCCTAAAAAGCTACTTTAAAAGACATTTCTTACAAATTTTTCAAGCAATTTTTTTTTGTAAAATATTTTTAGAATAAAAATTTTTGTACAAAAAATATACTTTAAAAAGCAGTAAGAAAGATGTCTCAAATCAAACCTAAGGCTACTATTTTTTTACGGATTTCACACAGTCGAAAAAAATTCCGCATGAAATATAAATTACCGACGGATTTCATTTATTTTTTGGCAGAACTAGCGGCCGAAAAATAACGCTTTTCTTGTAGTGATTAATGATCTTCATAAAATAATCTCCTAAATAGATACTCTTCAAAATGGATATTAAAAGACTTAAATTTTTTTTTTCTTTTAAAAATTAGAACAAGAATTTCAAAATATTACTTCTGATCCATCAAAACTTTTAGCTTCTAGAAGTACAAGCTTAAGTACAACCATCTCTTAGTCATTTTTGTTGGACATTAGCAATGATAATCATCAAAGTAGAATTGGCAATGAACCATATAGTTTTATGAGCACCTTCAATCTCTTCTAGCCATGGCTTCCTATAATCTATCTTATTAAATATATGAAGAGGAGAAGACATTAAGGATGTCAATTTATAGAAGATTCAGTAATAGAGGCAAAAAAAATATAAAGGAACTTTAAAAATTAAGGAGGACAAATAAGGATCACATTTTGAAATTATATTTAATTTATAAAGTTTCAAAATAAGAGAAAATTATAGCCATCAAAATCCACTCATATTTCAACTTCTTGAACAAATTCTCCCAAAAAAAAAAATATTTAAAATCTTATTTACAAAAATCCTCTCAAGAGAATCCTAAATGCTCTCAAAAGAATCCTAAATGCATAGAGATGTTCAAAATAAAAAAAATAATAAAAAAAAAATGTTCAAAATCCTCTCAAGATAATTATAAACAACATTTAATAACAGCTAATACATAGAAGTGTTCTAAATGTCTTAATTAAAGAAAGATGTTACACATAGAAAATGAACCACATATATATTATATTACATAAATTAACTCACCACATTCAAGGAAGAAAATCTTGACATTTTATCCACTCTAATCTATGAAAAATTATTATGTGCGGACATCGGACAGCGTCCGAAGATCAATCAGAACGTGCCACATCACTTTTTTGCCTGATACCGCTGATCAGTACCGGATGACGTGGCTTGTTATGATTGATCTTAAGACTGTTCGGTATCCTCACAGAATAATTTCTCCTAATCTATTATTAGGCTGCTCATAAGAAAATGATATTATTCATTAAATATAGATACATTTTGAAGTTATATACTCTATAACATTTAATGCATCATTAGACCTCTCATAGGGAAAGGACAAAGGACATTAATCTTTAAATATAGGTGTATTAAATATTGATATTTTTTGGAGCTCTTTCAAATATTCATTTATTGCACTCTTTAATTTCACCTAATAAATATTTAACTCTAACCATAACACAATGTTCTAATTATAATACAATAAATGTATAGAAATAACATAAAATCGCTTAAGTATCTTTTATTTATTATTCCTCTTATTTTGTTATATTTATCTACGCATATATATATATATATATTTATATATATATATTAGAATGAATAAATTTATCTTTATTGAACTAAATGTCCTAATAAAAAATATTTGAATAACTTTGAAAGAAAAACTTTGAAAAACTTCGGTGTAGATGGGATTTTATTTAAGTTAATATTTTACTAAAAATATGAGTCTTTGAACTTTTGAAGAACTATGGTTTATTAAATTGATAAATTTCATTAAAAACTTAAAATCCAACCACAGCTGTAAAATTAATGGAGGTGCGGGGAATCGAACCCCGTGCCTCTCGCATGCGAAGCGAGCGCTCTACCATATGAGCTACACCCCCAAAGTTGATCAATTTCTTTTTTAGTCTTTACATATTATATAAAGGCGACGGGCTAATAAAATTTATTATAAAATAATATTTGAAACAGAAAACATCAATCAAAAATAAAAATAAGATAAATTTCAATTGCATATTTAATTTATTAATTATATATTTTTATGTCATAAATGAAAATACACATGGTGCCCATTTAAGCTCATCTAACTCAAAAAGAAGTCACACATGCTAGTTGAGGAGCTTCTCTTTAAAATTTTAAAAAAAAATCTAAAAAATTACCCTCGGTTGACTTTAGGATTTTGTTTAGGACAATTTTCTCATTGTTTTCTATAGCAAAACAGTTTTCCAGCACAATTTTTTTTTGGAAACAACAAAAATAATATTGGCTAAAAAGTGTCTCAAATAAAGCATAGATTAAATACTTAGGGGTGTAAGTAAGTCAATCTGATTCATGAGTTGGCTCGATAAATTCAATCCGACTCGTGAGTTGGCTCGTGCTCGGCTAGATAAATGGCTCGTGAGCCCAACTAGAGCTAACAAGCCAAGGTTGAGCTAGCCCCGACTAGACTCGTAAGCTCCTAAGCCGGCTCGTTTATAGGATTTTAAATATAAGTTATTAAAAATTATTACCCAATTTCTTATATTAAGTAATTATTTATTATTGTTCTTATAATTTCTCATTATTTTTATCATTTTATTATAATAATTGCTTACATTCATAATAAAAGAGCCGACTCGTGAGCCAACTCAAACTAATAAATCTACAGTTCAAGCTCAAACTCGATTAATTGCCATGGGTGACTTGAGCTCGACTCTAAATCATTTACACCCCTAATATAAATATCGGTTGAACAAATTGTACTTAGAACTCATCATCTACTCCAACATGTTGGAATTCTCAATAATTTTTTGGCCTAGAAATTGAAAATTTAGTCATAGTAGAAGAAGATCTTATTTATAATAATTTTTAACTATCTAATTAAAAAAAGAAGATCTTATTTATTATATTTATTCTCTCAACTTCATTTGATTTTTATTTAAATTTTTGAAATAATCTAAAAAATTTAGAGAATTGGGCAAAGAAACTATCATAGGGAGAGAATTGTAAATGTTTAAATTGTATTTCTAAACTTTTTTTAAAATATTCTTTGTCATATAAAATGGTTTATTAAATTGCAAAGACCCCACCAAGAATGATCACCCTCAACCAGATGTATGTGACAACAAAGAGACTCGACTCAACTCCACAAAACAATTGGAGAAGATAAACCCCAATGAAATTCTAGAGATTCATATAGCATTTTGAATATTTCTCCTCAATAGGAGTTACCTTTCTAAAGCAACTTGTCATCACTCCAGTCAGCAAGTCGCTAATGGTATTCATCGATCCAAGCACAACAAAGATTCACCCTCAAGAAGACAAAAACTAGCTTACTTAGCCAACCTTGAGTTCGCAACCACCATAGCTCATGTAGACTCATCCTTCGCACTGGAAGAGGTTGCTGATGCAACCAAAGGACTCATCATCATAAACTCATACAACTTGATCCATCCTAATGACTCACCTTCATCAATTCACTCACAAACACTAGGCAAATGAAACTCGCCCCGAGACCGAAAACTAGGCAAATGAGAAGAATCACGTCAAACATCCATCAAATCCTAACACATGTCATAAGCAATCCCAAATTGGCCTCATTTATTATTGTTCTTTTTATCATTTTTACTTAGTCTTTCCTATAACCCTTAGATCCCTATGAATAAAAGGTGAAACCATATATTTTGAATCTTATTTCACTCTTTTGAAGCTCTATCGCGCTTGTGGAGAAATTTCCATAGCATTCTTTCTAGACTTTCTAAATCTTCTTGTTTTTCTTCATACTCACTCCAGTTTGCTTGCTAGTAGGGTCAAATACCATCTACAGACAATTTCAAATCCAATAATAACCATTATTTTAACATAAAAATCTACCAATACATATACAAACATGTGTGTCATATTTTATGATGTGAAAATTACAAATTTTCTTCATGAAATTGAATCCATCAAGCGAAGAATTGTCAAAGAACCTAAAAGTCATCAAATTGATTTGTTATTTGCATTCAGCTCATTTCCAGATCATAACAAACAACTCAAATACAAGACTTCTTAGTCTTAAAAAGCACGAGTTCATATATTTCTTGTAGATAATAGCCAAATCTAGTCAAACAAAGACATCAAATTGTTCAATTCTTTTAACCAAAGGATAAGGGAAACAATGAAGGACTTTTCAATGTCAATCTTACAAACAAAATTTCCAACAAGTACCCATATGATAAGTATGGACGTTTGCATCACATGACAGGTTTGAATTTTTCCCAGTCACAAGCATCATCATTTTTCTACTTATGTCATCATATAAGATACAATCGCAGAAGAAATTTTATGATAATTTAGGCTTCGTTAGGGACGGTTTTCTTACCGCTTCTTAAAGTAGATTTCAAGTATAATAATTAAAATTTTTGTACAAAAATGCTGATTTAAGAAGCAATAAGAACTGCTTCTTAAAGCAGCTTTCTAGTTCAAAAATTGTTCAAAAACCTATTTTAAGAAACGGTAAGAAAGTCGTCCCAAATGGCAAAGCCTTAGATCTCTTTCACTGCTTATATAATCTGGATAAAATTACATGGCTGCTCAATATTTATTTCCTTTATGCTTCTTTTGCTGTTGTTCAAAACAATGTAAACTGAAATACTTCCATTAAGCAGAAGAATTGGAAGAACAGGAAAAATCTTATATGCTTGTTCAATCACTCAACAGGGATTTAAGGTCATCTAAAACAGTAGATGCAAGCCTTACTTCCAGAGGCAAGATTGAGGCTTCGTTTGGAACGGCTTTCTTTTTGTTTCTTAAAATAACTTTTTAGTACAAAAATTATTTTTTTTTTCTATTAAAAAGCTACTTTAAGAATCAGATAGAAAGCATCCCAAACAAAGCCTGAGTGACCATTGTAAACCAGCTTGACCTCCGCCCAAAAAATAAAATAAAATAAAAGATAGTATAAGGAGAGTTTTCTGAACGGGAGAAGAATGCTTTCTGATCTTATAATTTGGGAGATTGGGCTGGTAAATCCTCTTAAGATAGCCAAATTACATCCTTGAGGGATGTTGAGAGCGTTTTATAGAACTGCAGCAATCAGCAAAAAACAATTAACTCAATCATTTTGTTATTTCTGTGGGTTTAAGTTTGGAGTTCAGAAAAGAAATCGCATTTAAAGCCTAATAAATGATGTCATACTGACAGTACTGTTTGCAGATTCCAATCTATCACTGGCATAAATTTTATTGAGCTTATCTGACATAGGAGGAAACAAACTTTTCTCGTAGTAAACATAGCCAGTGGAAGAATCATGCCCAAGTTCAGAAAGATAATAAGAGTTGAAAGAAATTCTGGTAAGATAAAAAAAAGGATTTTTTTCTCTAGCCAAAAAATTATATATATATATATATATACTGAGATTTTATCACTTTGAGATCATGGACAAAGGAAGATCTCATCGAACCACCTACACCCTCGTCTTATTTTTGCAATTTTCTATTTGAAAATTTATTATTTTTCTCATTCTTATGAACATTATTACTCCCAAGAGCACACTTTTTCTAACAATTTGTTTACATTTAAAAAAAACAAATCATCATATTACGAGAAAATACAAGTCTAAAATGGGGAAAATTATTAGGTCCGGACACCGAACATAGAGATAGGTCTGGACGTCAATAAAATGTCGACACATGGAGTGGACACGTGGATATTCAATATGTTTAATGTGTCTGTAGAACTTTAAACCAAGTGCACCAAAAGCACAGGTAAAACGTAGTAAAAAAGTGCAGTTAAAGCCCAACTAAAGTGCACTCCACGTGTAAAATTTTTAGTGGATGTTCGGACGTATCTCTACGTCCGGTGTCCAGACCTAATAACTTTCCCTAAAATAGACTATGTATATTACCATCACCATCATCTAAGACACCAAGACCCTGAATACAATATGACTACTAAACACGCACTGTGCTGGAAGTCAATTTAGGCACTCACTAGTGCAAATTGAGGCACTAAAAAAAATAAGTATTCACTTTTGAGAAACATAAATTCATACTTTCATATTAAGCTATATTATAAAAAATAATAATTTTTAAGTTTTGTTGCATTTCATGTTCCAAAAACTTATTAAAATGATTATGTTAGCAAAGTACCCAAAAAACCATAAATGACTCATAATTTTAGTGTTGTTCATGCTCTCTTCTCCCTCACTAACTTGTAGCCTCCTTTTGATTTAGAGCATCTCCAGTCGAATGCCATAAATATATATGACATTCTTCCATCCCTCCATCCAATCAGCAAAAATGCTGCTATTTGATTGCAGGAGAACAACACCCGCTATTTTTTTTTAATTCGAAAATTAATATTTAATATATAAAATAAAATACGGGAAAAAACATACAGGAATATTTTGTGTGTGTTAGAAAATGGAGTTCGATTGGAGACAAGTTACTTTATTTGGAGAGAAAATTGAGTTTTTCGGTTGGAGATGGCCTTATTCTTAACATTCCCAAGATTTACTATGCTAGAACATGAAGCTCTTGTTTCAACATTTAATATATTTATTTTCTAGAATATAATCCTTGTTTGTCCAACCCGTATTTATACTTCCCATAGCCCATATCAATAGCAAAAACCACCTCATCTTCCATGCTCGAGGTATTAACAACCATCTCTTCAATTACAAAAAGATGCTTGCCTTGTTGCCTAATGCCTTTAACAAAAGACACCTTGCTCCCTTTTAACAGTACTAATATTACAAGCCTATTAGGGGAAGTAATGCCAATGAATAACTGCTAAATTGGTAAGTCAAAATACCTGATGGAATTCTAGCGTATCCCCTTTAGCCTTCCGTATCTCAACCATATGCAACGAGGGGGCCACTTGAAATACCTGCTAACATTTAGAAACCATTTAAGCAAAATTGTAAATCCCCATGAAACTAAGGGTTAGATTGGGACATCTTTATTATTGCTTTTTAAAGCAACTTTCTAGTACAAAAATTTTAATTTTTATACTAAAAAGCTGCTTTAAGAATCAGCAAGAAATTCATCCCAAACGAAGCCTAAAGAACTGAGTTTTTGTACAACCTCGGCAGAAACATTGAGATTTCCCTTCCTTCCTGCTTTTATATTTCGAAGCATCATCTAGAAAAGCACCAAAATCATCAAATATAGTTCAGAGGTCATAATGCTTTGTTTGTTTATTATCAGGTATGTACATCAATGTTTAATTAAATTTTACCAGACATGCTTTAATCTAATTGTAAGTTAGGAGGTCACCTTGTAGTTCTTCTTGTGAATGTCATATCCAAGAGGCTTTGTAGCTTCTTCAATCTTTCTGATGATTTCATTGGCAGAACATGTTGATGTAAACCTAGTTTCTCTCTTGAATTCCTGTGATGTAACAAAGAGATCGAAAACAGTGCGGTCACAATAATACATCTAGAAGAAAGCTAAAGATGATAATAATATTGTGCTTTGGAATGAGATTTTTGAATGAAAGAATGGTTCCTAATAGATAAAATCTCACAACTAATAGTGCATTTGATTTTCCCTCTCTTCCTCTCCCTCTGCCCTTCCTACTACTATTTATCTATATATAGATAACTGAATGAACACATAAAAAAACTGAATCCCATTCGCAATGATAAACATACTCTTGAGTTATGATTTCAAGAGACTCAATGTACCTGTTCTATATTGAACAAGCTACCAAGATTTAGGCCCTTTGACAAGCCTATAAGCTCAAATGCATTCAGTGCTGCTGGTTGTTCTTCCTTCCCCATCATTTGGTGATCCTGGCAAATTCTTGAATATATCAGACGTTCATGGGTGTAAAATAAAACAAAAGAAGCCCAATATTAACGGGAGAGATACTAAATACAAATTAAGCACGAGAAGCTCAATACAAAGAGAGATACAAAAAACAAAAGTCTCTGAAATTTTAGAGAGATCTCCACTAGAAGCTATTCTTTGACTCACTTGCGAGACCTTGAAAGCAGCATGATCATCATCCAAACTTGTTTCATACGTTCCATCAAAAACAGGAGGGTTGTCGCCATTTCTAAACCATTCATCCTCCAATATTTCAGAGATAGTCATCCTCTGTCATCATCCACAGAAAGCAAAGTCAATCATATATAGTAAGGTAGTGCTGAAGGTGACGAATTTCAAAATACACAGCCTGCATTTTAAGTAGTTGGATAACTTTTTTTGTGTTTCTATCAATACAACAACTATTAGAATGTTTCTATTGTACGATTAAACATAATATCATAGATCATCATAATAAATGGTTGAAATTGTTAAGTTGATATGTGGAGATTTATTTCATCAAATTCAGGCCTTCTAAAGTTTTGAGTTTTAATCCCTAAATAGCTTTTATCTTTGCAGTTATTAGCTTCATAATGTACTTGTTTCCTAATTCTTGCACTCCACCAACACCTTTTATTTTATATAAGGAGATGGAATCCTTCTAGCTTTGCATCACTTAGACAGGAAGCGGAAACTGAGAGAGGAAGAGAAGTCTGAGTGCAGGAAATCAGGAGAAGCTACTATGAATAGGTGTTCAGCTACCCCTGGTGTCAATGACCGGGAAAGTAGCTCAAGTCGAGTCTGAAGGGAGCAGTAATTGGTGGTGGCCAATGAGGTGCCTGGAAATGGAGATTTCTTAAGAGCCAACGGCTGGATAACTTGGAAAAGATCAGGGGACTGGCTCTGGGCCACCACTAGAGATTGTTTTATTTGTGGCGAGTTCATCATCGGAGTTGAGTAGTCTTCCAGGTGATCGTTATCAAAAAGTTGAGAGATTTAACAAAGCTTGAAGACTAATCATGGTGAGTTGGTTTATGGCAAGGCCTTGCAGAGGTTACCAGAATCCACAACAGGGCAGTTGGCCAAAGATACAATATTAGATATCAAAGTCAAACACTTGGACTTGAAGGAGAGTTGTAGTTGGCGGCATTATACATTTGAGTACAACAACAAAAAAGTCTTTATTCCACTATGTGGGGTCATCTACATGAATCTTTTTTTTCTCCATTGTGTTCTATTAAGAGTCAAATTCTCATTTAAATCTAATAAAAAATGTCATTTTTAATACTTCATAACCAAGTCTTTTTAGATCTACATTTACCTTTCTAAACATAGACCAGATCTAATACATGTACTCTCCTAAAAGGGTCATTAGAAGGCCAACATTTTATGTTACTAAACCATCTAAAGCGACTCTCTCTAATCTTATCTTCCACTAGAGCTACTTCAATATTTTAACGTATATACTCCTTTCTCATTGTCTCTAAGTGCAAAGTCACTCATCCACTTAAGCATCCTTATCTCTATTAATTTTATGCTTCTCATTTAATGGCTAATATTTTGAGCCATAAAGCATTGCAAGTCTCACGAACATCTTATAAACTTCTTTCTTAAGTTTGAGGGGTACTTTTTCTATCGCACAATAAGTTCAATGCAATCCTCCACTTCACCCATCTAACTTGAATTCTACTAATAATATCCTCATTTATTTCACCATCGCTTTGAACAATAGACCTGAGATATCTAAAACATTCCCTTTTTTTAATGACTTAATCACCCAATGTCACAATCCTAGCACTAGATCTATTACTACTAAAATTACACTCTATATATCTGATTTTAGTTCTACTCAATCGAAAGCCTTTAAACAATAAGGTTGGCCTCCATAATTCATTTTTTTCATTGACACCCTCTCTAAGATTATCAACAACAACAACATCAAGCCTTTGTCCCACTATGTGAGGTCAGCTACATGAATCATTTTTCGTCATTGTGTCCCATTAAAAGTCAAATTCTCATTTAAATCTAAAAAAGAAAGATCATTTCTAATATTTTCTAACAAGTCTTTTTAGGTCTACCTCTACCTTTCTTAGCATAAGACAAATCTAAACCTCAACTTTCCTAACTAGGTCATCGGAAGGCCTCCGTTTAATGTGACCAAACCATCAAAGGTGACTCTCTTTAATCTTATCTTCCACTGCAACTACTCTAACATTTTCACGTATATGCTCATTTCGTATCTATCTCTAAAGCTAAAGTCACTCATCCACCTAAGCATCCTCATCTCTGCAACACTTAACTTAGTATTATGCTTCACTTTTAATGGCCAACATTCGGCACCATAAAGCATTGCAGGTCTCACCACCATCTTAGAATTTTCCCTTAAGTTTGAGGGAGGACTTTTCTAACACACAACAAGCCCGGTGCATTCCTCCACCTTGACCATCATAATATCCCTATCTATTTTCATCATCACTCTGAATAATAAATCCAAGATATCTAAAATGTGTACTCTTATTAATGACTTGATCTCCCAAAATCACAATCCCCTCACTAGGTCTATTCCTACTAAAATTACACTCCATATATTCCGTTTTAGATCTACTCAAGCGAAAACCTTTAGAATCTAAGGTTGAACTCCATAATTCAAGCTTACCTTTAACTCCCTCTTTAGTCTTATCAACAAGAAGAATATCATCAGCAAAAGCATACACCAAGTCACCAACGTACATCTTCTTGCAAATGTCTAGTGAGAATATCCATGACTAAAGCAAAAAGAAATGGGCTTAAGGCTGATCCTTGATATAATCCAACCGAAATAGGAAAATACTTAGTCAAATAACCTTGTGTTTGAACACAAGTAATAGCTCCTGCATGCATATCTTTAATGATTTGAATATAAACATTATGAACTCCTTTCTTTTCAAGAACTCTCTATAGCACTTCTCTTGGAATTTTATCATATGCTTTCTCTAAATCAATAAATATCATATGTAGATCCTCCTTATTCTCTCTATATTTCTCCAACAAACCTCTCAATAAATGTATGGCTTCCATAGTAGACCTACCCGACATGAATCCAAATTAATTTTGAGAAACATTAGTATCACACCATAACCTACTCTCTATAACTTGCTCCTATAGTTTTAAAGTATGACACATTAACTTAATTCATCTATAATTCGCACACTCCTGTGCATCACATTTATTCTTAAAAATATGAATTAACATATTCATTCTTCACTCATCTGACATCTTTTTAGTTTTCAAAACAGTATTAAAAAGTTTAGTAAGCCAAGAAATTCCTTAATTTCCAAAGCATTTCCACATCTCTATTGAAATATCATCAGGTCCAAGAGCTTTTCCACACTTGGTCTTTAAAGTCTCTCTAACTTCGATTTTACTAATACGCCGATAAAAACTAAAATTTTTATTTTCATTTAGGGTGCTAAAGTCACTAAAGTCAGTCGTATTTTCACATTCTTTATTAAAAAGTATAGCAAAATATCTTATCCACCTTTATTAAATATTTTCTAAGAAAAGTATTTTTTTGATCGTTATCCTTAATACACTTCACTTGAACTAAATCCTTACTACTATCTCTTTGTTTGGCTAACTTATACATATATATCTATCTCCCTCCTTAGTATCTAATCTATTATATAAATCATTAAAAGCTAAGCTCTTTATATCGCAAATAGCTTTCTTAAATTTCTTATTAGCCTCTTTATAACTTTTCCAATTATCATAATTTTTACATCTAAATCAATTTTTATAATAAATCTTTTTATTTTTTTATCTTTTCTTACACATTTGGATTCCACAACCAACTATTTTTACTATTATGAGATTTTTCCCTTCGAAACTTCAAGCACATCTTTTGCAATATTTTTAATATCACTAGCCACTTTTTCTCGCATAACATTAGCATCCTCGCGCACAGACAAAATCTTAAGATCTAAAATCTTATTCTCAAAAATACTTTTACTAAAATTTTTTAAATGCCCTCATCTAATCCAAGAATATCATTTTACTTTATTTTTTTATTTTCCGCCCCTTTATCTTTAAGTTCAAAACTAATAAACGATGCTAGGTATATAAATTTCCACTCGCAATAACTTTATAATCTTTGTAATCTAAACGATTTAATTTTCTTATAAGAAAATAATCAATCTGTATTTTTCTATATCTATTTTTATAAGTGATAAGATGCTCATTTCTTTTCTTAAATAAGGTACTAGCTATTAAAAATCATAAGCTAAAAAAAAAATTTAATATATTCTTACCACCTTCATTTGTTGTTCTAAATCCATGACCACCATAAATGTTTTTAAAATCATCTATCTCTCCACCAACATGTCTATTTAAATCTCCTCCAATAAAAACTCTTTTTTCAAGAGGTGTCTTTTATATTAATTCTTTTAAGTCATTCCAAAATTTTAATTTTTAACCCATATCCAAATCTACTTGAGCATAAACACTTATAATATTAATAATCTTAGCATCAACAATAATATTTAAAGTTATAATTCTATCTGCAATTATATTAATTTTTACAACATTATCCTTCAAACTATTATCTAAAATCACACCTACACTATTTTTAGTACGACTCCAACCCGAATACCATAGTTTATATCTTAAATTATCAATCTCCTTAGCCTTATCTCTAACTAATTTAGTTTTATGAATGCACATAATATTTATCTTCTTATGAATCATAATATCTATTAACTCTATTAATTTTCATGTAAGGGAGCATATATTTCAAGTTCATATTCTAATTTTAGTTTCATGGACTAACTTCTTTGCCCACAACCATCCTTGATGTAGAAACCATTTCCCATTTAACACTGCACCAGGGCGCCGATGCAGCGGTCATTGCACACTTGTCACTGTATTAAGACCATACAGTGTCTTGCTTCCAGGGGACGCCTTAGCATTAATACAATTTTTTAAAGGATTCCTATCATGATTATTCGACAAAAAGAAGAATATCATCAGCAAATGTCTAGTAAAAACATCCATGACCAAAGCAAAAAGATATGGGCATTATACATTTGAGTAACATAAGAAAATAGAATATTTAATATGTTTCTTTTATACTTTTGTATATTGTTAGGTTTTCGTTATGGTGTTGACTTAGCTGGATAGTTGAGTGGGATTGAAGAGAGGAAAGAGAGGAGAGAGAGAGATGGATATGTACTAGAAAGATTAATTGAAGTGGGGTTCTATTTGAGTGACAGATATTGCAACTTCATATTCATCTCTGGACTTGTACATTCTATTATGTCCTTTTTCTGATGTCTTTCTTGCGGCCTATATTATTCCATTCGTGATTTATTACCGCTTAGACGTGAATTTTTCACAACAACCATCACATAAGGATTAGCTCAGCATGCACTTCATAAGAAGTTGACTTAAGAAGCACAATTATATGTCACAGTAAATAAAATACTAACCGTCACTGGATTAGGATCTAGAATTCTTGTCAACAATTTCTTGATGCCAAAAGAAAACCAAGAAGGGAATGTGAAGTTAGCAGTTGCTATCTGCATGAGCATCGAGAATCTGTTAGAAAAGGCTCCAAAATGAAGACAATCAGGCTTCCAAAAGCTTTCCTTTTATACCTTCTTGTACAAATTTATGCTGTTATGATCATCAAAAGGTAAGTATCCCGCAAGTAATGTAAACAGGATAACCCCACATGACCACAGATCAGCAGGAGCTCCATCATAGCCTCTATTTTTAAGAACCTTAATAAAAAGATAGTTTTTTTTTAATTATTTTTTTTTTTAAGAAATAAAAAGATAGTTAGGGGATATAGATGTATGAAAAATATTCAACATTTGAAACAGAAATGACTATAAAAGTATACTTACCTCAGGAGGTACATAATTTGGAGTTCCGCACGTAGTGTGAAGCAAGCCATCATCCTAAAAATTGAATTTTGTTTTAGCCCTACAAAACACTATCAACATAAAGTGGATATATGCTCTTCCTAGTATAATAATTACCCTAAGTTGTTGATGAAGTGCACTAAAGCCAAAGTCAGAAACTTTGAGGTTGCCAGATGCATCAACTAACAGATTTTCCAGCTGCAAAAGATCAATAGGAAAGAAAATTTGGATTTTATAGGGAAGTTGGAAAAAGAAGGAATTAGAAGTAATAAATATCACGCATGCACCAGTTAGTTAACTTTTAAGTCCCTGTGGTAGACACCCCTGCTGTGGCAAAAATCAATAGCATAAATCAATTGATGAAAATATCTCCTTGCTTCAACTTCTCCCATTCTTCCATGATTAACCTGCAAAGTTCATGTATATAAATTATAATCAGAATAATTTAATTATACTAGAAAGAATGGAGAATGATAACTGAAGCTTACATGTTAGAACATAACCGAAACCTAACAGAAGTATGGTTATTAAAGCTTGAATTCCATAAGACACTGAATTAATGTTGATAAATGTTGAAGGAAAATATTCAATAATGGGAAATTGCAACAAATGTATTAATAAGCTACAAAAAATCATGCAAAGTTCGTGCATAGAGGATGCAGTTGGCCGGGGAAAAGTGCCGTTATAATGTGAAATGATTTCCCAAAAAAACAATACACACACACAACGCACAAAAGCTACAAGGAAAGCAAGGGAAAACTTCATGTTCTCAACTTACAATATTATTAAACAGCTCTCCACCAGTAGCATATTCAAGAACGATGAAGATCTTTGATTTGCTGCCCATTACCTGACATTGAGAAGCACATTATAAGAAATTAAAAATAAAAAGGGGCTCATAGATGGAACAACATCAATTCAAATGTGCTATATTTAGTAATTTCATAACGTGATTCCTCTTTTTTTTTTTCATTAGTTCCAAAAACTCAAGGTTCTGCTGTGGAGAAATAATTGAGGAGGTTGTAGACAAGAATTCTGTTACAGACAAAGAATAAATATAGATTATATATGAAATTTCTTTTTTAAGACGAGTAAATTGAGAAAAACGCTAGTTTTCCTAATTTAAAATTATGGAGCCTTAATATTTGCAAATTTATATTGAAGTAACAAACCTTAATTCAGGTTTGTTTTCATGGTCATCAAAGGGTGACCAAGTAATTCGGTATATGTTACTAATCTTTTGGCTAATCTTCTTTTTTTTTTCTTTTTTTTTTCTTTTTTGAGAATTTTTGGCTAATCATTTGCTCAGACAATATAATAACTCTAAATCATAATTAGCAATGTCATGAGCAGATTGATTAGATGGATTTATTTACTCATCATCCTAGATTTTTTTTTCTCAACATTAAGGTCAATAAAATGATTAATAGATGATAACATTCACAGAGGACTACTACTACTCGGTCTTAGTTATGAAACATAAGTTACTAAAACACGTAGAATCATTTATTATAGAAATATATTTATTTTGTTGCTTTTGAAAATAATGTTTTGATGTGAAACTGTTAGACCAGCCCAAGGGCCAGTTGAACCGGTCCCTCTTGGATTGGTTCGGGTGTACAGGAGGCGGAAACCAGAGGGAGGTGGAAGCCTAGCTTGGGTGGTTACTGGATGGGGCCCGCGCATTAATGTGGCATTGGTTTAGTAGGGAAAATTAAATTTAAGCGTTGTTTAGGGATTAGTTAATTGTCTTTTTTCGTTAAGAGGTTTCCTTCTTGCTAGGGTTAGGTTTTATTTTGAATTTGAATCTGAATCTGAAATTTGAGATCTCTGTTTTGGTTTTCGGTTCTAGACTTTGGCTAGAGATTGGAGAGTTGAATCTTCCTCACGAATTGAAGATTCATTGTCTCAAGTTGTTTCTTTTCTTCTCTTATTGAATTTCAAGTGCTCGCCCTTATGATTTCTCTACAGATTTTGTAAAATCTGCACGGTGTTTGCTGAGTTTCTCTCAAATTCAGTAAGTTTTCTCTGTTTTGGTGGTTATTTCCTATCAAAAACGTATTGAATGTATGATTAATTTATATCTTTTAAATCTAAGGTTTATGAAGCATCATGTGTTGGAGCAGTTGTGGGATCCGAAAATTCGGCCCCGACCTCCGCCCGCTTTTGTTTTCTTTGGCGAGGGAGTTTTAACGAATTTAAATTCCGGGGAAAATTTTGGAAGGCAGATGGGTTTGTAGATAAGACACTACCCAGAGATTTCGCCCTCATTTTGCGAGGACTTTATGATCTGAGTTCTGGTTTCCTATAGGTGCAAGCCCCTATAGTTAATTACCCCTCCCGATAACGAGAGAGAACTTTCGATTAAGGCTAGTCGTCAATCAGATACGTATAGAGATACGTGTATCTGCCTATCAAAAACATATTGAATGTATGATTAATTTATATCTTTTTAAATCTAAGGTTTATGAAGCATCATGTGTTGGAGCAGTTGTGGGATCCGAAAATTCAGCCCCGACCTCCGCCCGCTTTTGTTTTCTTTGGCGAGGGAGTTTTAACGAATTTAAGTTCCTGGGAAAATTTTGAAAGGCAAATGGGTTTGTAGATAAGACACTATCCAGAGTTTTCGCCCTCATTTTTGTGAGGACTTTATGATCTGAGTTCTGGTTTCCTATAGGGGCAAGCTCCTATAGTTAATTACCCCTCTCGATCACGAGAGAGAACTTTCGATTAAGGCTAGTCATCAATCAGATACGTAGAAAATACGTAGTATCTGGCATATAGTAGCAGCATGGGCATGATGATTCGAAGTTTGAAGGTTTTATATTTAAAATTAGAAATTTCACCATCGTGCACTTAAAGCGGATGGTGGGGAAATGGATGATAGACCTGATCAAGATCCCATGGTTCCGTCATCCCGGACAATCGTGATCCCTGGTCTACTAAGTCAGAGGAGGTAGTCGACTCAACCTGACAGAAGGATCCTTGTCGGCAGCCATGGGTTGCTTCGTCCAAGGGGACCTTATAGACCTAGTGTGGATATTTGCCTAAGGGGGCAAATTTGAATCCACCTTAGCTAACATAGGACTTTGTGCCCTATCTATCATATCATATTGATTCATATCTCAAAGATTTGATTTTATTAAGGAATGTATCAACTCTAGCCATAACTAGTATTTCGTGGTACCATTTGGCGGCAAAACCACTCGGTTCAGAGGGTGCCGAGTCATAATCGTTTATCCTGCGGTGCCATTTGGCAGCAAAACCATCAGTTAGAGGATACGTACCACGTCCTTATTGGTAGGAGATTGTTTGAGAATGGATCCTAGTGATATTTTTGACTAAGCATTAACTCTTTGTGAACCGAAGTAGTTTTCAATTTGTCTACCCTGCCAAATTGTTGCGGAGGGTAAATGGATTTTGCTTTAAATGTTCTATAGTGTTGAATTCCAATTTTAAATATTTGAATTTGGAATAATTTTTGAAATTTTGGATTTTCGGGTATTTGAGCGGCATTTAAAAATATTTGTGAACCCCTACATTTGAGATTTACATTCAACACGGCCATCATCGAGGTGACTTTGAAGTCACATGAAAATATTTGAATTTTGTAAAAGTTTGAGGGTGTTTTGAAATATTTGAAATTAACCCCTCTGGTTGAGCTCTACATTCAACGCGGCCATTATCGGATTGTTTGGGATCATTTCCATTTGTTGATTAAACCTTATCGACTCTGCCAATTTGCCGACAAAGGATCGGGTTCATCACAGGCTTTGTACCTTTATGAGTGAATTCTCATTGTTATAAGCCTTGAAAGCCTAATATAAATGTATTAAGACAAATATAGCGGTCGCTGCAATAGTATATTTGTTTGATGGTTTGAGCCATGTCGACTCCTATTGATTCGTATAGAAGGATCGGGTTCAAATTTGAATTCACTTATTGACCCGGCAGTATCCCTAGACATCATGTGTGTACTAATAACACGCTTGCAAGGACCCATGTGGGTGTTTGAGGGCATTTATCCCTTTTGTGTACCTATGTGTATACAAATTATGGTGCATGTGCGGGGTACTTTGAAATATTTGTAAGCATCTTTTGTCCGCTTGCATGAATGTTACGGATCCTGTGGCGTGACGTAATACTTGAATCATTTGCACGTTGCATACAGGTGGACTATCGTGCACTACTTGCATGATTTATACAGTTAGATTATAGTGCACTAACAAATCTCCTGCTTTCAATTGTAGATGCTTGTCTCTATTGTAATTCTTTCACATTTGCCCATAGACAGCATGTTGAATGTAGAACATGTATTTGAAAATTTGTATTCACTTGTAAATGGTGTGTTATATGTATGATGAATTTCCTATAAAAACCCGTGAAGACTGGCATTTGTTGTAGTCCTTTGGCCTCCTGCTTGTGGTTAATACACCGGGCATACAACAAATCTTCTATGGTAGCTTATAAAGATTTGCACTTGTTGTAGTCATTTGACATGTTGTTCGTATATGCCATTTAATATGTATGACGGGTCTCCTACAAGGGCCCGTGGACACTTGCATTTATTATATATCATCTGGTGTTTGTAGGAGATTGTTCTAGCTACCGTGTATTGATCCGTGTTGGCTCTAGAATATTGTATCATTCAATATTTGCCGATGCCCATCACTTGTAACGCCGAGCAAGCGTCGAAGCTCAAGGTTTCTGCACAAGAATAACGGGAAACGACGCAAACGGCGCCGAATGAACAATGATTCAACGACATTTCAGCAGATTTCCTGGATTTCGGCGGAGATCATGGAGGGATTTCGAGGACTCGATGGGTATGAGGTATGTCTGCTATGCTCTTTTTTTTTTTTTTTACACAGAGGTCAACAGCAATAAAGATCACTGCTATGATCAATATGTTGGTTTGTCATAGGTGACTCTTTATGAGTAAGAGATAAAACTACTCTTCTTAATTAGGAGCATAATCCTTACTACTTTTTTGTATGATTTAATTATTAATAATACAATGTGAAATAGTATTTTATGTGACTATATTGATATGATGCGACAGTTATTTTTATCATATTGTACAAATTCCTAGAATGTTATGTTTATTAATTTGATTCTTGAGGAACAATTATTGCTTATATAAATCTTGAATTATGCATATAAGCAAGTTTGATCATATTATAATCTTTATTAAGAACTATTTGTAATGTCAAATTCATAGAATGTATGATTGTATGCATGAAACTTATATTATTGGTAAAACTATTTTGATATTAGCTAGTCGGGCTAACGGGTCCATAGGGAAATTATTCAGTTTCCTTGGGATTGGCGCCTATCTTTTTTTAGCTTTAAAGTGTCCTAGTAAGACCGACAACGAATATATATTGATAGAAAAAAGAAAATGATAAATGACTAACAAGTGAATGATGGATGTATAAGTACAACATCTTTATAAGTTGATGTTTTCACATTTAAACACAATGATCATTGGTTTGCATAAATAATTATTTATAAACACTACCATATAATAAGCACTATTAAACTCATATATTTGAACTATTATCTTTAATACATTGTCTGTAATAATTATAATATAATACACTTTTTTTACTTTTGCCTCTTTTATAACTCATGTTAATGCCGCATGCCTTATCTTTATGCATTAAACAATGTGTTCTACCTATTGAGTTTATTTCTTGCAAACTCATTTCTATTATTTTATAATTTTCAAATTATTAGTTATGCATCATTTATAAAGGGGTTCTTAGACTCATAGGGAAACACGCCTTAGCAAAATTCAACAAGGGCATGCACTTTCCCTAGTGAAGGGACTCACCTCAACAAACCTTGAACCAAGGCGATTTTCCCAAAAGAACTCACATGTTCAAGAACATCATCTTAGAAGAGCTTGCCTCCACTAGAAGACAACTCACCCCATTAGTAGGAGACGCTCAACTACGCAAACCCAACAGTAACAACTATTTGACTTGCCAGGACCCGAGCCAAGTTAAATATGGCAGGACACGTGTATTCATTCAAATTATTCTATGTTTGTAATAATTAAATGTTATATTACTTTACTTTTTTAGGTATACCATCTCCTATAGCTTTTACAATCCTACGAATAAAGGGTTGGAGGTATTTTTGAAACATCTGACCACTAGAGTTAATGATATTGAGCATAGATAAATTTATTCTTAGTTGCCACCTATGATGCACAGACACAAACATGACAACATAGATATGAGACACATCAATCATTGAAAATATAGGCCACAAACAAGGGTTGGACATGACAACAAGATCAACATCGAGCCTTCATCCCACTATGTGCTACAAGAATCCTTTTTCTCAAAAAATATTTATATCTTAAAAATAGTCTATATAAATTAATAAGTAGGATATTATATCATTTAACTAGGATCTATGCTTTAAATGATTAATATTAGGATGTCGAGAGTCAGTCTTAGATGTCGTGTCAGGCATTGAGAGGGGAGTTAAAAATATTGTTGAGAGTCTGGCATCAATGTTGTCAACAGGCATCAGGCATCAATGTTGAGACAATGTGACCCTTGATGTTGAAACGGCGTCAATCTTTGATGTTGAGATGACTTTGGACAAAGATGAGATGTCAAGAAGTCGTGAGGGTGTGATTGTGAGTGTACAAATTGCCAGCATCGAGCTTCAATGTCAAGACATCGTCAAACTTTGATGTTGAGATGATTTTAAAACATTTATGTTATGACGTTGTTATAAAACCCTAGTTGTAACCCGCTAGAGAGAAATGAAAATGAAAATGTTTGGGGATTGAGGTATTAATTTAGAGTTGTGGACAGGAAATAAGAAATTTATTTTTTATTTTTTAATAAATAAAAATTTGAAATACAAGAAATTATAGTAAAAAATTCATATAATATTTAAGACGCATGTGTCGGACATGCGTGTTTAATTTATTTTTTATATTTTTTTAATTTTGCATATCCTCAACGTGTCCAAAGCGTGTCAGAGATGTGTCGACTGTGTGTCGTGTCTAATATGTGTCGGACACTGCATACCTCTTTGAGGAGAAGTATCGATGCATCATAAGTTGCCACGTCTCTCTCTCTCTCTATCCGTCACCTTAACTAATTTTGATAGTAAGGTCAAGATATCGCCTATAAACAAATTTGAATTCAATAAATAACAACTGTCCACCAAAGTACAAACTCGATAGTAAGTATGATTTGTTTAGCTGGAATCAAATTTCTAGCATCATTTTCCTGTTCGAATAGCTAGTAACAAACAGAAGAAACAAGAGAAATGAAATTTGATAAGAAAATTTCAAATTACGCCAACACCGCAGTGTACAGAAATTGGTATTGCGCTATGGAGAACGTATGTAAAGGTCTACAAAGTAAGCAAGCACATTTAGTAGAACTTAAACATGCTAACTTATGAAGCAGCCATACAATACTATCTCTATATCCAAAATCTATTAAAAACACAATGATAAGTGGGACATAAAAATATTACATGCAAACCCAGGTAGAATACGGCTAAGCTGATTAATAGTGGAATTCCAGATCTAAAGAATATAATGGAGATGTAGATGACAAAATATAGTGGCAAATCATTAGTAGTTTTAAGGCAACACTAACACACAGTTGATATTGCATCACCAAATCTTCTTTTACTGAGAGCACAAAGGACCTTTTAGTAATAGCAAAATGAAAACAATGATAACCAAATCAAAGGCTCAAAAACTACCTCTAGCAGTCGGATAACATTTGGATGCTTTATTAACTTCATGGTAGCAATTTCCCGCATAATCTGCCAGGCCGAGTAATGTTACATAGGCATGATTAGATATCAGAGATTAGCTAAACATTGTTCTAAGAAAGCAAAACTCCATAACATACATTAATTAGGGAAGTTCAGAATTCGAGAGAAAATTTTCAAAATTAAGCATTACAAAACATTATTCATACTAAATAAAATTTGATCAAACAGCCTTCCTAAAATTATGCAAGATATTTCATATTAAGTAAAGAAAATGGGCAAAGTTCCACCTTTCATGTCAGAGAAGGAAATGGATAGATAAAATAACCCTAAAATTATAGTTGAAATTGAAAGGAAGAAACAAAACAAAATTAATAGAAGGTTGTACCGTTGTAATATGAACAAATATAATAAATTATAGTTTGCATAAACATTTCTAGAGAAGTGATTCTACTTGTTAAGATGCTTTAGGATCAAAACTCTATAAATATATTCATCAATTATACAACATCATTGTCAATACAACAAAATGTCTTGGCTCAAGCCGTATACTCCCTGGTTTCTAACCTAAAGGTCTCTGTTAAATCTCCGCCGCTTACTCTAAACGAGATCCCACGGCTCCAAATCAGAATCCGTGGGAAGCCTGCCTGAAACCACGCCTTATTCACGTTGATTTCTATCCATAATTAGATAGCTGATTTAGGAAGGAATATATGAGCGCAATAATGCCTGATTTTGTAGTTATTTGTTTCTCTATTAAGATATCTTGTATAGATCTATAAATAGGGAATAACTTGTGTAATGAGATATGTTTTTTTCCTCTCAAAATTTTGATTTCAACTGTCTCATGCATCAATCTCAATGGGCGCAACTATAACGAATTTCTCTAGGTCCAACCAAGATCTAATTTTTGTAATTGCTATTGTGCTCATATAATTAGAATATTAGATAGATTTCTATCCTTTATAAAAAAATATCATCATAAATACAAGTCTGAAAAAGTGCAAACATTCATCTTTCAAGTATTTGACTGAACTGACTAAGCAAATTTCCTAAAATATGGAAATAAAAATATATCAAACATAAAGTAAACATAAGTTAGCCTAGTAACCATCCAGCTAAAGGAATAATCAACTAAAACTTTGTAGTCCAACGAATCAGGCCTTCTAAACAGGGACAAAATAATACAAAAGAGGCAAAAAAAAACAAATAAACTCAGGTATTGAAACCATAGAGCAAAACTGCGCACTTAAAAATGTTCAAAAGTCTAGAAAAGACCTGCTCAGGCAATTTATGCTTTAGAACCTTCTCCTTTAAAAGTATCTTTATTGCAACATGTTCTCCCGTGTCCAAGTTCCTTGCAAGCCTCACTTTTGCAAACGTTCCTATGCCAATTGTTTGGCCGAGCTCGTATTTACCTACTTGACGCTTCGCCTTTTGTACACTCATCTTGCTAGTCAACTGATATCTGCCATTCCAGAACAGACTATAAGTATTTCCAGTGGAATTAAGAAATTGCAAATGCTAGCAATAACAAAACCAGCTCAGGCCATCGAAACCAGGTTATTAGAAACAATGGAGAATAGAAAAGGATTGACAATGTGAAGCACATTAACCACAGGAAAGAATAAAAAAAGCTGAATCTAGCATCATCATCCTCATCATTAGCTTCATCCATTAAATGCCGTACCTATTGGATACCCAATTGCATCAAAGTTTAAGTACAACATTTATTGGAGAAAATTTTAATGAATATGGAAAACATGTATTGCTTATATGATGATACTAGTAAATAGGTTGTTGGATATTATAATTTTCCTTGGGATTTTTTTTCCTATTTACTTACCTTTGTTTCAGAATAAGCTGTGACTCAAAATATGATGAGAGAAGGAAAAACAGGCTCCTTAGCTTTAAAAAACTGCAGATGCGGTAAAAATTTATGAACTTAAAAGAATTCAAACAAAAAGTAATGCAACTTTACCTAATATCAAAGAGATACTGAGATCAAATATGGCTCCCTAAGAAGAATTGGCACATTGAATCAGAAAACTTAAGGTAATTAAACCCCAAATTCCACTTTTGTTACGATTCCTTCTCTAATGTTTATATAGAGCCACCAGCACCTCGGTTACGAGCCAGGTAATAAATAGTATCAAGGAAAGGGCATCTTTTGTTTTTTTAATGGCCACACGAAGAAATCCATCCAAGAAAAACTCAATTGTATTTAAAAAATAGCAACTGAGAACTGTCTTAATGGCAAAGACTTCAAAAAATAAATAAAGTAAAGAGCACACAGTAAGCATTCCATTGAACTCTAGAATAAGCCAAAAAGGCCGAAAAGGATTAATCAAAAAACTGTAACAAGGAAAGAAATTCAAACCCTAAAGCATCAAAACTATCAGACCTCACTAAGAAAGCTTCAACTTTGTCGCACGTAATCCAATTGCACAAAAGATAAACAGAAAAAAAGAAAGATTTTATAGGCAATTTATACCATTAACACACCAAATCAAATGTCATTAGCAAAAAACGACCTTCTTAAGCAAAGTAGAGGCTTTCATCTCTTCCCAGCTCTTTCAGAATGCAAATGGGAAGAAACCAAGGGCGGGGAAAAGAATGAAGAGGAAGATGCAGAACAAGTTTGTTCAAAGCCAACATTGTGCATGAATAGATGGGTGAAATAGGGAAGGTGGTCTCCTTGTTTCGTAACCAGGCTCAGTATCGTTTGGCAACACCCAAGCGAGCAGCTGCAAAGGCAATATGCTAAGCAACGGACTAAATCCTAAAAACTAAAAAAATTTGAATTTGGAAAAAGGAAAAAAAATTTAAAAATTGATTTTTTTAATAAAAACGAATTTGTCAAATTTATATATGATTTTGTATGCAGAATTTTAAATATTTATAATTATTATTTTTTATTTAATATTTTTATTGTATTTTACATCATTCTAAAAAGGTTTTAATTATTGCAAGCAAAAGATAAATTTATTAATTTTCATTCTATGATTTCTAAGGTCTCAAATAATTAACTTTTAGGTTTGTGCTCATCATTTTTTTAGATTTTGATAATGATCAAATTCAATTCAATATATTTTAAAACAATTAAAAATCCTTGATGATCATTTTTTTTATATCTTCAATGCATCAAAAAAACCTATGGAAATGTATAATAACAACTCAAAATTATTTATTGCAATTAGAATGTTTAATATGATTTTTTTTATAATAAGTATTAAAATATTTTAATTTTTGTACTATAAAACTGCTTTAAGAAGCAATAAGAAAGCTGTCACAAATGAAGTCTAAGTTTATACATGCAAAAGCCTTAACTTATGTCCCATAGCCTACTTAAGCCTTATACTAACTTAACTTAGACATTGGTTGGCTAATCTTAAACTTTGACTTTTATTTATTTGATACTTTGAACTTGAGCCTTAGCATGCTATTGGTGTGTTTTGATTGATTATTGGTTAACTCTAGCCTAACTCAATAGATTTTAAGGGCTCTAGTGGCTCAGCATAAATTATCTCATTTGACATAGTAACCTTTGACTTATACTAAGACTCCTTTATTAGCCCCGACCTTAATTAACCTCTATTAAATCCAATTGATCTTGAATGGCACAATGAATTTAGAAAGGACACTTTAACCCATTTGACTTCATACTGAGCAATACGCGAATATAGCAATCCCGGGTCAAGTCGTCGGACCGCGCGGTATTGAGTAAGACCACGTGGCGATATGTTATTGGCGTCCGAACATAGAGCTACGTCAGGTCACCTGACCTAATAATTGTTCGTGAGGATGAGAGTTGCGTGCATATTCACTGATTTGACATAAAAATTTTTCTATAGCAATCACTTGATCACTGCAAAATAACTCTACAAGAGAAATATTTGCTTTCTGGTTGTATAGGATATTTTATTTATTATTGTTATTTCATTTATATGTAAATTTCAAAAAATAAATGAAAATATTCTAATTGGTCACCTAATTAGATCTGACTGGTACAATTAACAAAATGCCTTCGTCAATGGAATCAATGGTTTAGAGAGAGACCTTCGTTTTGAAAAAAATGTGCTTCTTATTTGATCCATATTTTTCATTTTAGTATTTTACTCTTCAGAAATGGCACTCTTAAGACATGTAATATAAGACTAAGATGCCCAAAACCTTTAGGTTTTACATTAAACTACAATATATCCAAGAAATGAGAGGTCAACATCTCATTAGGGCATCTCCAACCGAACGGCAAACAAGTGTTTGCGGTTCTTGCTTTGCTCCAACCGATCGTCATTTTTGACCCCATTTAATCGCGGATGAACAGTACGACGCCATATTGGCGTCGCAATGTTCATCTGCGCCATTTTTTTCTCTCTATTGATGTCGCACTGTTCATCTGCGCCATTTTTTTCTCTCTACCGAACAGATAGGGAAGAAAGACGCGAAAGAAAACGACTGTTTTAGCGGCAAAATGGCGTTGGATTGGAGATGAAAAACGGCATTTTTTTATTTCCCTGCATTTTGGAGTGAAAAATGACATTTTCGGTTGGAGATGGTCTTGGGATGATTAGGGTGATAAAAATAAATGGGATTTAAGAAGGGTAATTTGGCTTTATATAAGTCATAATAATTATGATTGGTCAAATATTTTTATTATTAGGAGAAATATACCTCAAATTTTATTTCATATTAAATTACTAAAATTGATATTTAGTTGTTCATGCATGAAATCGTAGAAACAATATCTCCCCGTAAGCTTATATTTTTTTATAATTTCAAGTTTACTTATAATTGAGCAGCGATTTGTCTGGAAATTAAATTAATTCAAAGTTGAGTTTGAGTTATGCTGAGTTCATTTAAAACCTAGTGTTAAGTTAGGCGGTGAACGAACAAATGCATGAGGGAAAAGATGTTATGTGACAATGAAGAAATAATATTATCATTCATAAGAAAGTACTATGACACAAATAATTTTTTCATAGACTTATCATGCTTCGTTTAGAACAACTTTTTTGTTGCTTTCTAAAGTTATTTTTTATTAAAAAAATTTAAATTAGAAATTTTTTGTACTATAAAGCTGCTTTAGAAAACAGTAAGAAAGTAATCTCAAACAAAATCGAAGTTTCATGATGGAAGAGAATCACTAAGTTTCATACCAACCACATGTCCTTATTTTTTATTTGAAAGACTAAATTTAGCACCACCTCCATACTAAGAGGTAGTTAATAATAATCCCTAAAATGAATTCTTATTGGTTAGAACTGAAATTGTTTTCATTATCTCCATCCTTTTGTATAAGATGTTGCCACAACATCAGTAGGGGAAGAGAGGGGAGGCCAAATTATGTATAAGATCTTGCTTTCAAAATTTGGCAAAGTATAGATGGAAAGGGAGTGGCTCCATATTAATGACTTCATAATGATAATAATGCTCAACTTCTTTCACTTGTTAATATTAATGATGATGGAAACACTGAAAAATTTAAATTTAGATGTTGATGATGATGCCCTACTTTTTTTATATGAAGGGATAAATATGATTAATGCGATTAATTTCTTCTACTCTGTATTAGTCAAAGTATTGATTAGGGTTAAGGGAATGACTTTGGGTTGTATTGCTTCCGAGCAATACGCTCGGTATTTCTCGATATTGATTGGTATTGGTCTTCACAGAGTGGTATTTCTCATTATTGTTGAGCGAAATCGACCAATACTGAGTAAATACCGAGCAATACCTAGCAACACGCGAACATAGCAATCCTGTCTCCGTTCCGGGTTGGGGTTGTCGGGCCGCGCGGTAAATAGTGAGAACACGTGGCACTATTTTACTGGCGTCCGAACGTAGAGCTACGTCAGGTCACCTAACGTAGCTCTACGTTCGGACGC